CCCCCCCCCCCGCCAATCATCGGTGAAGGAAACTGCGGCAGATACAGCCACTGTACGACGAGTACGCGGTTATTACAGCTGATGATGATGATGATGATGATGATGACACAAACAGTCACATTACGTTAAGGCCCAGTCTCTTCGTGACCACAACCAAGCATCAGTATTCAGTCATGCTGCCGATGATGGTGGTGGCGATGACGATGATGTTATCGTAAATTTGCATACTGTTAACTAAAGCTTTACATGATCTGACTTCACTTGATTTGACGTGAACTGACTTATCGCATGACCTGTTTATTTTAATTCCATCATCCTTTAAACGAATAAGTACGGAGCCATTATCATACCGACATTTAGACGACAATCGGGTATGTCCAAGTTAAGGATTACGTCCCCGGGTGTGATTCTCGAAAGCGATCCTGCCGATTGGTCTCCAACGACTCTCAGAATTGATGATATAGTCTGAGTAAACTGGCGGTTATTTGGGATAGTTTCTAGCATTTTATGCACCCTATCAGCATTGAGGTTTAAAATGACAGACAGTGAAATGTCCGAAACGGAAAAGACCGTGGGTAGGGATTTTAGAGATTCCTCCGTGTCCTGCTGAGAAATCGAATCGGTCGATCTGTCAGCCAGCTGTTTCATCTCTATTTTAACTCCGCACCTGATAGTAGGTAAACGCGTGTATTAGTAAGCTGGGGTGAAGAAGTAAATTCTTTGCCGAATAATGTCGATTGAACCGAGGCTACATCTTTTTGTTGTATTCTCGTCTGGCTGAGCTAAGAAGCATGGGGTGCAGAGTAGTCCTCACTCTGCAATAAAAAACCCTTCCACTGGCGGGTTATATTGTGTTGAGAGATAAGTGTCCACGGCGTTCGCTTCAACGTATTGACAAACCATTCTGCCTGTTCGTTTGACTGAGGCTGGTACGGTCGGACGTACTCGATAGTATCCTGTGTGTAAAACCCATTGCAAACTCTCAGTTTATACTCTCGCTTCCTGTCAGTAAATTCCATAGGCTACAATGGGACATCTTTGACTGTTTCAGCTGGGCCTGCATCTTCTATCGCTGGAAGTCCACCCACAGATGTGTGGAACATATGTCGAACACCTGAATCCTTAATGATAGGCAGCATAACCGAGTCTTGATTTGGTGTTTTAGACGTGAAATCAGCTGTCAATCTCGATAGCGCATCTGCCCGCCCGAAACATGATGTCCATTGATGTCCATTGTTAAAACTTGCATGTGAGGAATGTGGAAACTCACCTCTGACTCCGATTTACCGTGATACCGGAGACTGATTGACTGTCATCGTACAACGTAAAACGAAACCATGGTATAGATTATGAAACCTTCTAACTGTAGACTTACGGGTCTGTTCTTTTTTGATCCTGGCAAGATAAGTAGTAACTAGACTGTCATGAAACAACAAAGTAATTGATAGAAGCACTTGCTTCCCAAGGAAGTTTGTCCCAGCATGAAGACGGCCTCGGATAAGATTACTCGTAGTGTTCCACAAGGTTGACCTTCAAATCGGAGGAATAGCAGTACATGAAAATGGGTGGGACTAAAATCCCTAATCTATCCTCAAGTGCCTGAACTCGATGTTTTTCAGACAATGTGTCAGTGATAAAACTATAATTTCTCATGATGGCTGGACACGTTAAGTTAGAGCTGATTCATTTCCCTCCAGAATGTAGGTAAAGCTGGGGGTATGATGATTCTTGTCATTTGTACTTCTTCACAACAAATGTTTGTGGTTCTTTTCTCTGTACAGATAAGCCAGAAAGTCCCACGGACATTCGTGCAAAACCGTTGGATATGCACACCGTTCAGCTAGAGTACACTCTTCCAAAGACCTCGGACGCTGCGCCCATCACCGAAATCTTGCTGGAATATCGTCCCAAGGGGCAATCGAGGTGGGTTTCTCATGAAAAACTTAATGGTTTGCTGAATCTGTGAGTCAAACAAAGTATACCTACATTTTTCCATAATTTAGGTGGTTTTCCCTGACTGTTCCGGTCGCCAACACAGCAACAATTTCCAAACTGGAGCCTGGGACCGAGTATGAGTTTCGTGTGTCGTGCTCAAACGTTGCTGGTGCTGGCCAACCTTCAAGGGTTGTGAAAGCACAGACAATGGAAGCTCCAAGTGAGTAATGCTGCCCCTCTTGTTGTGTGCACAGTGTAGTAACTATGGTATGACTACAGTTTGCTGTTTTTTTCAGCATAGACGTCGACAGCTGCAGTTAACTGTCTAGTCGGTAACCGTCCGCACTGCATCGAAATGCTCCATTTTTCCAAGCTATTTTTATTTCAGTTTGCCAGTCAACTTCAGTAGCCGTGTAGAATCCGGGCCACCGTAACGGTATACACAGGGTTAGCTGTCGCTGTTGATTGACCTATCACAAGCTTGAGTCGGAAGGGAGGTATGTGGGGGCATCTGTAGTATTGACATTAAGCAGCTGCAATTATCAGGGGGCGGTAGTTGGAACAGAAGAGTCTATACAGACAACAGGACTGTAACAAACAACGGATTGGACAGTGGGAACCACCGGTTTGATTCTAAAACAAGTTAGTTCGGTTGTAAAATGGATACCAATGTGTCATAAGTATTAAGGAACTGTGGTACCGAACAGTCACGATGGCGGGGAGGCTAGCTGATACGTCAGCGGACTCACTCGAACATAAAAAATGAGAAAAAAACGAATACAGAAGAAACGAAACGCTGGAAACGTCCGGAAAAGTCGTCAGACGAACAGATAGGAGGGATATGAAAAAAGTTCAGCACAATTCATAGTGTGTCGTAGGTTGTCCGGTGGATGAGATTCAATTAGTGCTGTGGTCTTTGGAGCTGATAAGCGTGTGCATATTGTCAGTAACGCGGGAGCGCAAGTATGGGGTTTGAGACTCACAGGCACTGTTGGGTGGCGCCTCGCCATCGGGATACTGTTGTGGGGATGCCATTGTGGTGTAGCCTGGCGGTGCAGCTCGGGTTAGCTACTGGGATATTGTTGCATACTGGGTGGCCTTTTCGAAATGATCTTTCGCCAACCAGCAAAAGAAATGGACGCTTTTCAACAACACACACAAACTGGCCATTGCTTACTTTCGAACAGTCTGACGAGTTTTTCCCAGGAACCGACAGACAACCTTTGTACTGCTCATTCCAGTGAAGCACATCACCGACGAGTCTTCCGAAAATTCGTCTACACTACTTAACACTCAAACAAGTGGTTTCATCGCCCGTTATTGAGTTACACGGTCGCGTCACCGGAGTTATGGAAGGAATGTACTTATCACCAAGTGAGACAGTGTGCTACAGCCTTACGCAACCCATTCATACAGTCACCAGTGGTGTGATGACCAAATGCCTCCACCACTCGCGTAAACACGCATTACGGGCACTGTGTACCTCCGCTCAAGCGGACATGGGCACGCAACCAACCCGTTGGGCCGCCTATTGATTATACAGCCAAACGGCATTCGTTAAACGCATGCATAAGAAGTCCAGTTCTCCTGATATGAGCAAATTTACAAAGGCGCCAAATCGCCTGCCCAGCCAATCAGCGATCTGGAGCTACACTTCCCTTTTTCACCGCACGCTTTACTGGCTTTGAGGGAGAATGCACTTTCCACCAATCAAAGAAAATGTCAAACTTACCTCGCACATGCATCCAAGCTATCCTGACAGGTGAATAAGTTTCCCAGTGTACACGCCATAGGAGTCAAGCCATAAGCACGTCTTCCACCCATTAAGTAGAAGATCAGTTACCAACTAAACGCACTCGTTGGGTTAACTGCCATCGTGAAAGCTGGGCAACCTTTCTTCAAATTGAATAGGCTTCTGCTGTGCATTCGATAATAATGGTCGATACGCATAACTGACAGAGGAACAGCTAGAGTGAGTTTGCCCAGTTAACTTCGTTTGCCCATCAGTTAGCATGTTTCCGTTCTGTTCTGTTGGTCCCTTACAATTTTGCTTGAACATCTTCTGATGCACCGTGACGAATATCTACTTAGCTACGGTCAAACCCAGATTATAGCTTGGGTAATGATGAAAAAAACATATAATGCATGATCCTTATGAGAATTTGTTGTTGCGTTCTGAACGGCTTTTGTGTATTGAGGGGGTGTCCCACATGGGGTGTATTCTGGAATATTTTGAAAATATTCTGAAATAAATATTGTGAGATATTCAATTCCCCTCCAAAAAGGTGCTACACGTTAGGAGGTTGCTTACTACCGTATTCATGTACGAATATACTGACCATGCAGTGAAATCAGCTTAGGACTGGTCCTCTCAACAACCTTTGTGAATGGGAACAGGGGAAATCTAATTGAGTGAAACTTATTGGGTAAAGTAAAAGTGGTCTCAGTCAGGCATAAAGCAAGGTTAACAAAGAATTGACCGGGGCCTTCTGTGGACGGCCCCGGTCACCTGACTTCTACGTGAGCGGGTAGTATGTCAGGCGTCCGCCCTACTTGTGAGTTTTACTCCTTTTCGAATTCGCTCCTTCTATCCGAAAATGCGGCCAAAATAAAAACAGGCGCACCATGTGGAGAACAGACAGGTGGAGTGACCTTGAGTTAACTGGGAGATTCAAGCTTTCACCAATCTGCCATATGAACAATCAGCCAAAGTCCACACGGATCAGAGTAGGGAAACATGAACGATAGTAGACCGGAAAATACGAAGGTCTAACCTGAGTGCATATAAAAGCTGAACATTCTGGTCCCAGTGTGGAACCAACAAGCATATCATCAAACGTATTCGCACTCTGGTGTGTTTGACGTGTTTATGTTTACCCTATGATCAGTTAATTGTACTTGACTAGAGTCAGGAGATGTTTTAAACGTTTAACCAATATGTTTTGAAAGCCACGAAAACCATGAGCCTATTAACATCCCAGCCATTACGAAAATGACAAATCTCCACTTTTCTTTTCTGGTGAACTCAGCACATGTATCTAGTGTCTACCAGAGTCAGTTTGGTTTTTCAAGGTATACTCTAAGGTGAAATCTCTTGCGATATTCTTTGACTGATTGCAGGAATACGGCAATTACAGTGCCAAAGTACCGGATGACTTGCCTCTGAGTCACGGGCTACTCGGATAAACCAGATTTCCGTGGGGTACCCGAGTCGCCCACTTTCTTTGCTAAGATCTGCTAAGTCCACAAGTTGTCAGACTAACAAAGTACATCCCCACTTCCATAGATCCACAAGAACTTCGACAATAAAGTCTATCTTTACATTTCTGTGCCACGCAACTTAGTGCACTCTGATTTCATGTGAATGTAAAAGACTGACATTAGCGAAATACACTCATCTGAGAACAAATTCGGTTCTGCGAGAGACTTACCTGGAACCTAGCTAAACCTCTCGTTTGTGATGTTTCCATGCTAGGTTCCAGGTGAGTCTCTCACAGAATCAAATTTGTTTGCGAATGAGTGTATATTCGCTAATTTCGTGCAATCTGGTTTCAAGTAGAACATAAGGTTGACGGAAACCCGGGGACTTCGTCTACCTGATGTGCCCCGAGAAGGGTGAAACCGGTCGTGGGCTGTCGAAGAGTTTTCATCAACCTTATGAGTAGTGCGATACGATTATAGAGGGCTGACAATTTTTGAAGTGGCAACTGAAGTGTTGGGCTATCTTCAAATCCCAAAGTATTCTGGCTTTCAATTAAGACTTGATTAGCTCTTTAAACGAGTGGCGAAGCGTTGGCTTTCTATGCCAGCAGCATTGTCCGCAGTGGTTAGGTAGTGGTTAGGTTAGTTGGACACTACCTCTGGGTTTGCCGGCCTTCATGTACAGTAGTAGATAAACTTTGATGTTTTCTAGCACATTAACCTGCTGGAACTTTAAATACTGCAGAACCACCTGGGCCACCAAAACTATTCGAAGTTTTACCTGCTGCTTTGGATCAATTGATTGTCAAATGGAAGGCCCCCGAAGAAGACGGCGGAGCTCCCGTCACGGCGTATGAGATCGAGATCACCGACGCCACAGGACTAGAGCTATGGAATCCGGTCCACACGCATCCCGTAAGCCGAACAGACAGCGAGCCTTTCGAAGCAACCATTGGGAAACTGGACGATACGAAGACATATAAGGTTCGCGTGGTTGCGACAAACAGCATTGGTCGAGGTGAACCATCAATTCCTTCCAAATCGGTCGCCCCAGGTAGGTTTCTCCCTAGTATGAACCGTTGAATACAGTGTTTAAAGCGCGCATTAAACCAGTAATGAGACACCGAAGGTATCTGATGTGTGGCACATTTTTACGTCTTGCAAATTGTTTCGTCCAGAACTTATCACCTAATGAATTACATTTCCTCTTCGCGACACCAGGTGAAGAAGTTGGGATCGTTCGTCCATTGACCGACATATATTATGATCAAATCCCTGGCACTGGAGTTAGTGCGGATCTAGAATGCGAACTAACACACCCGAATTGCCGCGTTCAGTGGTTACGCGGAGGAAGACCAATTCAATTAGGACGAAAGTATGACTTCACTCCAGAAGGATGTGTTTACCGTTTAAGCATCCGAGATATCACGGTGGACGATTTCGACGTATACCAGTTGACGTACAAGAAACTAAAAACGGAAGCGTCGGTCGGGGCCAAAAGTGAGTCTTTACGATATCACAGCGGATTTTTTGCATGCTGTGTCATGCAAGCGTTGTGTCTGGGACTTGAAAACCGTTTATTACACCCAAATAGTTTAAGTGAATATTTTTTCTGATCAGCACTCGATCTGAGCAGGGCTATTGCTATTGTGTAATTGTGTATTGAGTGTGGATCCTCCTTGGAAAAAAACATCCAAAAGATCTCTGGTTGCGACAACTGTTGGCGGCACAGAGCCTTCTACGGGAAAAGGAGCCTTCGCTGCAAACCATGCAGGCGATATATTATTGTTTGCAGAAGTTCCCCAGTCTTGGATGAATTTGATCTAGCCTGTGGCTTTCACCACTCATGTATGTTGAGTTTGTGCATCCATGATATTCAGTCCCAAGTTTTTTGGATCTTGTGATCGAATAGCTTGAGGTTGTGAGTTGATTTACCTACCTCCGGAGCGGAAACAGGCAACATAAGTTAGCAAGTAAGATCCTGAGTTGTGAAAATAGGGGCGGCGACAAAGGTACGACATAAGTCCTTTCGTAAAAGGATGAGTAAATTGTACATTAGTCAGTTCGGTTTGCTCATCCTGCGTAGAAGATATGTAACGACTGTTCACATTTTGCCACCGCTGTTTGCGCAGCAGTCCCGGATTTTGGTAGAAGAAAAGCTTGCGTACTGCAGAAGCATCTCATCGCGTCTCAGATGAAGGAAAGGACTCAGAAATATTCGCATTGAGCAGCTCTTCCGGCCTGGAGACGTCTCAAAAGTACAACCACGCCGATTGTCCAGAGACGCTCTGTTTAACGTGTCCGGCACTGGAAAAGATTCGTACAAATTAATCAACAGCATGAAGGACTAATTAAAAAATGACACAATATCAACTCAGTGATGTTGACTCATTTCCTTGGCTGATGTAGCATAGAACCGAGCCTATTGGCGAGCCTGTTGTTCCTTTCTAACTAGCTTTTTTCTACGTTTTTACTATTTTTATAGTACTGATCTTATGTACCGTCATACATCCTGATAGAGCGAACAATTTGAGCGAAATGTGCAGTGATATATTTCGCAAGGACCGGTTGTAAATGGTCGGCACCGTGTTTGGTGTGATTCATTGTCGGCCTATGTGGCCCTCAATCAGAGTAGCCGACAAAACTACGTGGAATGTTTGGTCACGTGCTGTCGCCTCATGTCAAGTGCAGCCGTGCAACAGTGCAAACAGGAAAGTGACCCGACGACAAGCGTGCGCATGCACGTGTTGTGCTGACTGAGGGCCTTCTGAGCATCGCCATTGCTATGCTGTTTTAACTAATCAAGCCTAGTCAAAACCATCGCCAAGATGTGTTGCGGAAAACCTCTCGTCGGGGGGATTGGAGTTTGTCAGTTCACAACGAGGTGATGAGTTACCACTGACTTTCAGATTTGTCTCGCACACCCGATAAATTATCAGCTTGATCCCTGAAGTTTGTCACACATATCGCCGTGAACCTTATAGAAAGCCCTGAGTTTAGTGAAACCAGGCCATTTAGAAAGTTACCCTCTAGGTACCAGTGAACGCCGGCGTCATCCCCTCATATCCATCAACCGAACGGTTGAAATAGTACATAAGAAAAGTAAAAGTTTAGATGTAATACACTACCTATAAGGTTGCTGAAAATTCTTCTGCAGCCCACGAACGGTTTTGCTCTTTTTGGGACTCATCAGTTAGGCACAGTTTCCGATTTTCCGTCAATCGTATGTGCCACTTAAACCCAAATTGCACGAAATTAGCTTTAAACATCATAAAAGAGAGATTCAGCTGGGTTCCGAGTGACTCTCCCGAAAAACCACATTGGTTTGCAAATGAGTGTATTAGGCTAATGTAAAAGTTTCTAATGGAGATCCCCTCTAAAGGGAAATCACCATTTTTGCCAATATACAACAATGTTCCCCGACAGATACGATTTGTTGGGCATCCCTCTCAAACAGAGACTGACAACCAGAAGAACAACTTTATTCTCCTTAGATATTTTCTCCCTTGGAAGCACCGACGTACACCCAGATTAGTGGCTAACGCTATGGCTGGATTTGATGAACGGATTCTACTTGTGAATACCAAGCTGGCTATCGCTCTGAGGTGCCCAGTGTGCAAACTATCTTGATGTTGATTTTTTTTGGTAATTACGATGTTGGACGCGAAATAAGCAAAAATATAAGTTTGTCCACTATTCACGATAGGGTTCATATATTTCCTTTTGCAATCGGAATTTTCACTGCGGAATTTTGACCGTGGGTCTAAGCCGTTTGTTGTTTTGAACTGTCACTCATAAGAACCCACTCTCTAATGGGATAGTGCAACACTAAAAGTCTTTTCAAGCCTTGTTTTAGGCAGAAGAGTATCGTACTCACATCCTTTTAATGGAACAACACTCTGTATGGAGCATAGGTTCATAGGTAAACGTTTTGCTATAAGACAGTTCTGCCCTAGTAATGATATAAATCTGTCAGTATTGAGTGGGCTTAGACCACCCCTTTCCGTTTACATGCACTGAAGATCTGCTATCTACTGCAGTAACTGAACGAACGACTAGTTGGATGGTGTGGGCACGACTAATCAAATCGACCTCCCGACAAATCAAATAACCCTGTTAATTGATCACAAATATTTATACGATGTGACACATCTCCGTCGCCCCCCCCCCAACACTCGTCCAGCTTTGCTCATTCATATCCCCTAAACCTTTACTTGTCTTCCGAGGGAGCAATATCGCCGTTCGTCGAAGAGTGGTGAAATGAAAACTACCGCAACAAATGAATCCCCGTCATTTTCTGTGTACTTTTTTTGGAATTCAGCTTGCTGCAAATCATATGTATGAATCCACCATGTGATGAGTGCAGCTTAAGTCATGAGTTCGGATTGCATGGTTAGTAGACGACCGAAAGGTTCATGGCCACTTTCTGTTTTTATTTTTATCATTCTCCGTCTAGTTCCTCCGGCCTTAAGGGAAGATGTGGAAATGAGTAGTATGCGTCAAGTTCCTGTTGGTTCTAACTTCGTACTTGAAGTCCCCTTCAAAGCCTACCCCAAGCCAACCGTCAGATGGCTTGCACAAGGTGTTACCGTAACCGACTCTACCAAACGCTATCGTGTTGACACCGTGGCCGGGCTTACCTCATTGTCCATCCAACGGGTCCAACGGGATGATGAAGGCGAATTATGCGTTCTGATTGAAAACGAACATGGTAAACTTACGTGGAAATGTAACCTGGCGGTTCTGGGTAAGTCTTTGTTTATAACCCTAGGACGCAATGTACTTGTAGCTGTGGTGAAATTAGTTATATGGTCTAATTGTTATTGTTGTTGTCGGCTCAGTTGCTCTGCCGGTAGAGATCAAATAATTTACTGCTAATGTCAAGCTGGAGCAATGCCTTTGTTTGAGTTGCTCGTCTTCAGAGCCGGACGGAATAGTCCTTTTCGTATAAGTGCAACAATATGGCATTCCCACAGTGCAAGGGATTATCCCGTTCTTCTACTGTTTTTTTTGTAGGGGGGGGGACAGTGATCTTTCGAGAGCGTTCCCGAGCTCTCACTATAATAGATATTTCTCATTGTAGTCTGTTCATGGTTGTTCATTGGTAGTTACTAAAACGCTGCTCACTTGCGTTCGTGGTCGACTAAACATCGAAACTTTGGTGAAATTTATATTGGAGATATTTGATAGGATCAACATAGTTTTTGTTTCTCAGCCACATGTTGATTTTTCACTTCCTCGTTTGTTCCCTAGTAGTACGTGTTTTATTCTTATCTGATTCTCATGTAACCATACTTCTTGAACTTTCCTTCAAATAGACAAGCCCGGGCCAGTTGAACGACTAACAGCTGATGTGGCCGCGTCGAACACTGAGATACTTGTCAGCTGGAAGCCACCGCGAGGCGATGGAAGCAGTCCACTGTTGAGGTACGAATTGGAGTTTCGAAACCCGAAGCGACGTGTATGGCAGTTGGTGAAAACCGGTCCACAAGACGATGACGATGTGCTCTGCATTCCACCAGATACGCTAGAGTTCGCCTTACCTTCGAGTGACAAAGAGACCGCAAACTCATTAGCCAGTGGGACAGAGTATCTGTTCCGCGTGGTTGCGGTGAATGCTGTCGGCAAGAGTGAACCCGTCGAAACCCGAACACCGATCAAAGCTCCGTACAGACCAAGTGCGTTTTCAGCCTTCCCGTTCCAGCCTGAAAAGCATGCCAAAGTGTTCTTAATAACTAACGTTGTTTGTATGGTCAAACTGCCAAGCATAAACCATTGAGAACATCCCCCTTCCTATGCATGTTTGAAGTACGGATCTCTAATTTTTTCGAGTAATCTTTGGCTTGAGTTCGCTTTAAAACTTCTGCTTCGTTTATACTTCGTCCACAGAACCGCCAAAGCTGAAATATGACGTACTGCTGGAAACATCACGTCTTAACGCCGGTCAGAAGCATTTCATCCCCGTCACTGTGGAAGGCACGCCAGTGCCCAAGGTAACATGGTTGTTTACACCGGACGAGAAGGCAGCTCAGCCGAGTGAAGTATTGCCTCAAGAAGTCCAAGCTGATGTCGGTACGGCTGAGAAGGATAAACCCAACAAGGTCTCGCTGAACATCAAAAAAGCTACTCGCAAGGTTCAAGGAGTGTACACCATTGTGGCTACAAATAGCGGAGGGGAAGCACGCGCACAGTTCCAAGTATCAGTTTCTGGTAGGTTTGCCTTCGTAGAATACAGTGTGTTTGTCCATGAAGTTGACTCGTCTGTTTCACTCGTCATTTGAGATCCCAGGATGGAAGACTGGCGTTTGCGTTGTGCTGCGGTCGATAGTAACACCACCACTCTTATGGAAAGATCGGTTGTTTGAACCGACCTTTTGAAAACTACATCGTTTATTGATTGGCTGTTCGTATGCCTAGCCATCAGTTTATGTTTAAGTGGAAAAGTTGGCTAGCGAACCTTTTAGCCACCATACCCGTTCAGGTTATCATCAGTTACAGCCTGCTGCATTTGCTTCATAGTTTTTTCAAAATCTGCTTACAGTCGTCGATTGATTGATACCACTGGGGTATACCAGCCTATACAGTGCATTAACGGGGTCTAACTATGCACTCGAGGGGCTAAAGAGGAGAGTGATATACAAATATCGCAAGCCTATAGAAAAAATCTCTTCATATCCACTCCACCTCACCTTTGACAATTCTTTTTTGTAGATGTTCCTTCTGCACCACTTAATTTGACCGCTGCGTGCTCGAGTAAAACCTCTGTGCGCCTTACTTGGTCGCCCCCGGCGGACACCGGAGGTCAGAAACTCACCAACTACGTGGTCGAACAGGCTGAGACACAAAACGCTTATGCGAGTCCATCTGATGTAGCACTTTGGCAGCCCGTCAGCAGTAGCCTACCTGTCACAGAGGTGACCGATAGTGAAAATGTGTGCACTTACGAGGTCTCCCGATTGACTACAGGAAAGCGCATGTTCTTCCGCGTGGCAGCGCAGAATAAACTCGGAGTTGGAGCTTTCGCCAGCATTCCTGAGCCTATCCAAGTGGTCTCACCACACAGTGAGTTTTCCCCAACCCAAAAGATTTAGGTTTCTTAATTTGTGGTTACACATGGATGGTTGATTAGCGGCTTTCCCCTGGAGCCATCAGATCAGTATAACGTGGGTGTACTATGTTAAAAAAAGCCCACAACTAACCCGCACTTTAGCTTCGCGGCTCTAGACAGCGAATGTCCTGCGTCTAGTGTCATCTACCGTTTTGCGACGTTTTTTGGAGGAAAGCTGTATTTGCTTACGTTTGGCTACCGGATTGCAAGATATTTCAAGAGCTTCGCTCCGACTTTTTCTTTAAGGTCCACAGGTTTCCCAATGCAATTTTAGGCGCAATGTCTGACTATAAACTGACTTCTCATGCGTCTTTTATTTTTATAGATCTCCCTGGACCTCCTCGAAACCTTCGTGCTGTGGCAGACAAGGACGGACAGGTTTTGCTTGAATGGAGTACACCACAGAGTGATGGCGGATCAAAGATTATCAACTACGTGGTCGAAAAGAGCACTGCAGCAAGTGGTGCTCCGTGGGCTGAGGTACCTTTGCCAGACTCGGCTGAAACTGAGCGTGTTTTGAAACATCTCAAAGGTGAGTGACTCGATCCTAACGGACGGACTTTACTGCTTGCAACTGCTATAGGCGCACTTCGTGAGGAATATTTTACAGAGATATCACTTGCTGGAATGTCAGTCGAACCAGAAAAACTAAGTAAATCATGACCTGATGATGGTGTATTATACTAGGCGTGATTTGTTTCACCATCAGACATTCAGTATCCGACGGCATTTACGGTCCTCCGGTCGATTTGAAAATTCCGGAATTTTGTGAACTAAAGAATGCAAAGAAAAGACGCCACCTGGGAAGGATTTATAGTTCATTATATCATTTTATCACTAAATCATGGATTCGGTAGGTACTTTTGGTTTCCCACCACACAGCCGAGCAGACACGCAGAGCAGTTGCCCTTTCTGGAAAGGCCACCTCAAAAACTGCCCTTAGAAGGGTCGGGCACACCACTCACATCGTTCAAGTGTGAACACGTTCGCCTGTTCAGACGTGATAATTCGATGCGTCCAAACGTGCGTTGGTGGAGTAGTGGTTACACGCTCGCCTCGCATGTCAGATGTCCGTGGTTGAGATCCCGGCACGGCCGTTGGATATGCACTGCTGATGAGCTCTACTAAGAGCGAAATTCGAGTCCAATGCTTCCCTTCGGTGCGGACTCACCGGAATAATTACACCAGACTAGGAGAACGGCCGTTCAAACAAGAGTGGTGTGTCTACGAACAAAAGACCTCCATAAGTTGGCATAAGACAGCGTAATTCCTTGTTGAGGCTTCCTTCGATCGTGCCACTTTCTATGGTCTCACAGAAGCGTAGGAAAGTCAAATTGCCCTGAATTGTTATGAGTTTGTGTTAAGTGTTCACACTTCTCCTAATTCACCGGTTGAACGGCCTTCCTCTAAATTGTGCATCATTGTACGTCTTTATGATTAACTCCGATGAACAGTTCAAACAATAACTGTGTGTTCAAGCAAATGAATAATGACGAGTGGTAGCAATTTACTTTCCTTTTTGTCACCGATTTCTCATGCAGAGGGCGAATGTTTCCTTCGTGTATCAGCCGTAAACGAGGCTGGAAGAGGTTCTGCATCAAACATTGCGGAAGTGACAGTGAAGAAGGTTGCAGGTTAGTCATATGGGAATCTTTCTTGAACATTTCGTACCTGTTTGCAGAATTAAGTCGGTATGAACCATCTCTTTAACGCTCACTCGTCTTTTCCGTTTTAGCTGAACCTAGTGCTCCAGGTCAGCCTACCGTGGAGGTGGTATCCGATGGGTGTGTTCAACTTCGGTGGGCTCTTCCGTTGGATGAAGGTCAGGGTGGTCCGATCAAGGGTTATGAAATTCAGGTGTGCGAAGTGGGGTCGACAAAGTGGCGACCGCTAACGGATAAACTCTGTCCCTTTAACGAGATACGTCTTGATGGTCTTGGAACGGACAAAGACCTGATGTTCCGTGTGGTGGCCGTCAATCAAGCTGGAAGGAGTGCTCCGTCGGAAAGCAGTCGTCCAATACGTTTAGGTGAGTGCTATGGTTTTTGAGCTGTGATACCGTATAACAACACTGCATTATCGCTTCAACCTGTGATATTACGCTGAGGGTTTTACGTTTTGGCTCATCTTCTTTCTAGAAATCGACGTCAAGTTCATTCGACATCTTGAGCCAATCACCATTACCGAGTTACCTGCGGATGCTGTGTTCGAGTGCGAACTTTCACGACCTGGTATGAACCTGATCTGGTCCAAGGATGGTAGAGACCTTAGTCTGTCCACACGGTGTGTTTACGACGTTACGGGAGTCGGAGACAAGGCGTTCTGTGTTCATCGACTAACTCTAGTCAAACTGGGTCCTTCTGAGCAAGGTCATTACGCAGCCCGTCTCCCGACTGGCGTGAAATCTGAAGCGGACTTAGTAATTGAATGTCCTCCACGAATCATGTATGACGCATCCAAAGATATTGAATTAATTGCTGGAAAGAGTAGCGTTATTGAGGTTCCTTATTCTGGTGCGCCGGTACCCGACGTCAACTGGTCATTCAACTCCGGGCCACTGCCTGTAGGACCGGTTAAGGAAAGTCCTATGGCGAGTGTGGACACAGTCTACGGGCTGACTTGCCTTCGTCTACGTCAAGTGAACCGCGAGGCATCTGGGTCTTACAAACTCGTGGTAAGTGGAAAACTTTTAAACTACACGTTTTTCGTATCAAAGTAACTGCTGAACTGGTGAACATTTCACCTGTTTTCCCCCATCCAGGAACAGAGACATTTCACCCGGAACGGTACTCATAGTTGCTTGCTTTGCGCAGTACGAGGAAAAACACCCAATCAGCTGGGAATACGCTGTCTCTTATTTGGCACCTCATTAATTGTGATGCTCATTTAGGCAAGCTGGTTGAAGTTTAGCCGACTGGTTTCTACCTTTACGTCAGATAAACTTGAAAGGACGAGTTAACTGTCACTCATCTGTTCCCTGCTGTTCCCCGTTGAACTGCAGAAGTACACCAAATCTCAGTGTTCCCATACGATGCTGAGAATTCAAGTGTCACCTTTGCTGTCTTCCTGACGTGTTTCTTTATGTGGTTCAAAGTTTTAAACTGGACTCGACGGTATATTTCAAAATTGTTAGTTACTGACCATGGTAGACAACATTGTTTATGGTACTTGTCCGAAAAGACCTGTACGTCTACAGGTATAATGGGAAGCGCATTTTGGACAAGTGTCTCCTATAGTTTTAATCCTGCTATTCACGTATCACTTACTCATTATGTTATAGAGCCATCGAGTATCACAGATATTAGACATAATTTGGCCTTATTGGTTACAAGAGGAATAGGGTTGAGATCCCCGCGTTTCCTATGTGTCAACCGAATCGGCTCCGTATATGACCTGGACTATCGAAACCTAGAATCCCAAGCACTTCATATTGTCTGTATTTCGCCGGGAGATTTCCTTCTAAGCACTGTGTAGCATTACGACGCTGACATTCACTGGGCACGTGCAACTCAAGGTTCTTCAATCCCCTCACCGACAACCATGTGTACAGAGTCGTGTGGACTCTGTACTTCTGAGTAGTATTATGGTGATATACCAACTATGTTTCTGTTTTTTTTTCTGGTTGGGTATAACAGTGAACTTTCGTGAGCATTTCGCCATCGTTTTCAATTTCAAGGTGAGTAACGAACTGGGCAAAGCAACCCTGGAACTCAAAGTTTCTGTGCTTGACCGTCCTGGACCTGTTAGACGTCTCCGTTGCGCCGTAGATGACACACAACCCAGTGCTGCTATTGTAGCTTGGGAAGAACCAAAAGATGCAGGTGGTTCACCTATTACCGGATACATTGTGGAGAAGCGTGAGGCAAACAAGCGAAGCTGGACCTCTCTTGGGCCAGCTGAACCTGGCTTGAATCGTGTAGCGACCGGACTAACGCCAAACACCGCCTACTTTTTCCGTGTCATGGCCCAGAATGCTTCTGGTTGTTCAGAACCGACTGAGACTGAGACCCCCCTGGTGATACCGTCCAAAACAAGTAAGCATGTGGCGCCCCTCTGTCCTGTAAATGTGACATATTAGATGAAGTCTGAAAAACCTGCTGCTTTCGAAAGTGGACCCCTGATACTAAGGTTTCGCTTTGCAGGGCCCTTACAATTCGCNCTAGCTACTGGCCCATAAATGTCGGGAAATATTATCACTCTACCACACCTAACTGATCCCAGGTAGTCTGCTCCAGCGGTCGACGAATATGGGATCGTTTTAGTACTGTCGAGCAAACTGTGTGGCGAAATTTGATAGGAGGTTGACGATGCAGTCAAACTCAAGTAACGAATTCGATGCTGGCGAACACTAATCCGAGGGTCACCATCAACTACTAGAGCGCTTCACTGTCTCCTTATAATTGATGAGCCACGGAAATAGAACTGCCTGGAGAGACAATACAAACGCTATACTTCCGTTAGGAACTGTATCCTTCATACACTTATTCACCTTCCTACTAAGACAAAAGGTATTTAGAGCCAGTTGTCTATTCTCTGCTTTTCGGAAACTAACTTTGGATTCAATTTTCATTTACTAGAACCACCGTCTGCCCCAGGGAGTCCTGAAGTTAATGATGTCGGCACCAACTCGTGTCGAGTGAGCTGGCAGCCTCCCAGTTCGGATGGAGGAGCGCGATTGGCTTTCTACCACTTGGAGAAACGGGCCAATCAGAAAGGCAACTGGGTCCGTGCGACAGATGGCAAGCTATCCATACCGGAGTCTCAGGTTGCAGCTCCGTATAGCATCAACGTAATGGGTCTAGTACCTGACAATGTTTATGAATTTCGCGTGGCAGCGGAAAACGCTGACAGTCTGGTCAGCGATTTCTCCACACCGAGTCACCGCATTTCCACTCAAGCACCGTTCTGTAAGCAGTTTGTCTACTCCCTTACCCTATTATATCATTTTGCCAAAAACTGCCTGTTTGACAGACGATTCATCTAAGAATGTTCAAGTTGTGCTTTCCATACGCATTTGTCATTTGAAACTTACATATCGTGGACGAAATCTATGGTATCACTCTGCTAGGAGTCAGCAGTCAAATGTAATGTTATCTAAAGAGGTAAACACCAGTTGCTATGATCCTTTTGTGTACATTCCCCTGACTGCCCACATCTGATTCCGTTTCCTCAGCGTTACCCGGGAAGCCATCTCGACCAGAGCTGAAAAATGTGACTGAAAAGTCAGCTACGTTGAACTGGAAAGCTCCTTACGACGACGGTGGTGATACCATCAAACGCTATATCGTGCAATACAAGGTTAGTGAGCTATTGTGTTCTCAAACAGCTGTTCCTCTCCTTAATTTGCATTCATGTATTTGAACCTAGGTTGTTGAGTTGGACATGTGAGCAATCCGATTTTTTCACACTAGTAGTTGAAGCGTGTGTTTCGATGCAGACCTGGGACACGGGCGCCAAAATGCACTGATATGAACGACGAAACCCCCAACAGATGAACCTTGCCTAGATAATGAAAGAAACTTGAATCATCATCTGGGAAAAACTGCTTGTAGAATGGATCAAGAGAAAACCAATGGTCTCACATTGCCCATCGACATCACGAACACCAGTCAGTCCTATTGCATTCACACAGGAGAGCGCAATGAAGGCACTGAAGTATCCGTTTATTGGATTATCATCTCTGCTTAGGACCGATTGGGTCATCCTTTATACCGATTGCAATTTAAACTACAATCCACACGCCGAAGACCTTGCTAACACGAACTAGGCGATGAATTACAGGATCCTGCCAAACGTCTTGTGGCTGCACGCAACTGATGGTTTGGACTAGCGTGTTCATTAAAAGCATTGTCACTAAACAAAACACCGGGTTCAACCATAAACAGCACTTACAGAGGGTAGGTCAAAGAGGAGCACAAAGGCCGATGTCACCTCACTTATCGTAACGTCATTCTCCTTTGAGGAACAGAATTGTTACTGATTCAATTGAGTTGATATAGCTAATGATGTAACAAGACTTTTGCGAGCCTCACTGCACACCATACATCAACCACAGTGTGGAAAGTTTAAAGTTAAAACACAGCGTAGTGAAATAAGATGTTATGATCCAATGTTTCGGTTGTCGTGGCCATTCGAAATGTCGGATTATGACATTTTATTCCGCTACCCTGTGTTTTTACTTCAAACTTTCCCTGTTATACGCCACATAGTGCTCAATCCGTTTAACAAGATCCGAGCCGAATTTGGTTCAGACCCCTCAAAAATTACAGCTTCATCAAGGTGAGTAAGGGATGTCATAAGGTGTCTTTGGCTCCGCGGTTTTCAGATTGCCTCCTGGTCAAGCCTAGAACGTGTATATCTCACTAATTACTGACTTCTGACTCTCCATGTGTATACGGTTGTAGAGCACCGTCTACTCAGGGTAATAAGCAGATCGGCGATGAACCGGGGAGAGAGTATTAGTAACTAAAGAGCCCTGGGCTCATGTGTTTTGGAGAAGGAATTTGATACAGTCCGTTGGCAGTAAGTTTGTGGAATGGCTGGTAGAATTCAATTTTTATTCTCTTTTCTGTCACCTACTAAAACATGCCGTGAACTCTTTCAACATAATGCGCCTCACACAAAACAGTGTGCTTACTAGCAGTGTTCGCTCGTCAGAAGTGAAAATAACTGCCGGGATGGAGAAGGTGTGTATCGGTTAGGTTTTGGAACGTTTTGAAACCTAATCTAAGCCCTGGCCTTGTCCGACTTTAAGCATATTAGAGAAAAACATCACTGCTACTCCTACTACTACACACAAATCTATCTCTTCTGTGACTTCTGATCCTCTTGTGAATCACCGCTTGTTCGTCAGCCGATCTTATGTTCCCTGGTTTAAATCGGTACCGAAGGCTTGCATGCAGCACCGCATCTTTTTCTGCGCCAGTCGTCCTACTTGCTTCTTACCATGCACTGGTGTCCGATGGTTTGACCATTGTCGGACAGCAACTCCGATTCGGTTGCCAACCATTTCTACTATAGAGGGAACCTGTTTTACTCCTCTCCCCTCCTTCAAAAAGTACAATATACTACCGCTTTGCGAACAGTTTACGAACATCTGTGTGATAAGCCAAACCTTGCACCAGTTGTCCTTGTATTTATCCTTGGATTCCGGTTTAATCCATTCATTTTGGGGATAAGAGTAGCCCGCATGGGACTTCAACCTCCAGCTCTGAGCCTTTGTGAGCTACTTATACTGTGCGAGTGACAGAGGCTGCTCAGATGAAATCGACACTCAATTCTGATTTTTACTGGGACGTGGTTTGCACCTGTTGAACCTGAAACCTTTGATTTTTTTCTTGGATCCCATGATTACCCATCTTTGTTTGATTGACGTACCTGGTTTTACGTTTCACCACTTTTACCACATGGAACTACGAGGATTGCAGGGTCAACTTGCTATGACTGTTGTTTCCTTTCGTTTAGATCCTCTCATCTGCCCACTGGGAAACTGTGGGTGAAGAACCGGTTGACGTGGAGTTTACCATCAGACATCTGCAACCTGATCAAGAGTATGAATTTCGAGTGGCAGCCGTGAACGCTGCTGGACAAGGTCCTTGGTCAGACTCATCAGAACCATGCGTTCCCGCGAAAGTTGTTGGTATGTCAAATACTAAGCAACTTGGCAGGAAATTTTGAAGAGGAGCATATTGAAACACTAAAATTAACACAAAGACTACAGTACATAGCAGATCTAAGAGATGTGCTCCAAGTTTCGGTAACTCGGCAGTTTGGTGATTGACACTCTGAGTTACCTCCTGAAACACTAAAATTAACACAAAGACTACATTACATAGTAGATCTAAGAGACGTGCTCCAAGTTTCGGTAACTCGGCAGTTCGGTGATTGACGCTCTGAGTTACCTCGTAATCTAGTTAGGAGGAGTATAAATGAACCAAAGCTTCGCAAAATAAACGGCCGCTGTGACTAGAGTTTGATACTATCCCCCATTGTTTTACATCAGTGCATACATGAAACGCGATCGGAATGCTTATTCATCAGACTGTTGGATAGCGATTTCTGGCTGAGTGTATTGGAGGAAGGTCTGACTTGTTTTTGATTGCACGGAGGGAAAGAATCGGAAATGTGAAAAACCTAACCATCATCATAAGTATACTTCAGTCACACAGGGTGGTTTTCCATCTTGATAGTACTTGCCTGATTTACGTATGCTTTTGTGTAGATGAATTTCTCTTGCAAAAAATTATCCCGGGGGCTGGTTAAATGGTCCCCACTGTGACAGTCTTGAGGGAGAAGGTTAACGAGAATTCTAGCTCGGAACAAAGACTCACCCTATGTTTAATGGAGGACTACTGAGTTAGAATCAACTGGCTCTCCACTGGACTGTTATCCTTGATGAATGACAGGCTTTTTGCTGTTTCGAGTGACTGGGATTGCTTTTTTATTATTTTTTTTTACAGAATCAGCGAAGCCAAACTTGGTCACTCCCCTTGCAAACGCTAACGTACAAGTTGGCGAATCTGTTGAACTGGAGTGTGAATTTAAGTTGGGTGAGCCAAAGGGTGAAGTGACTTGGTAAGTGCTATTTAGTAACTTTTCAAAATGTTGGCATGTGTGTGTGCGCTATTAATAAGGTACCGAATTGTGTCCAGGTCAGCTACCTGATCAGAAAGCCCGCTCTCATAATGTCCTTTAGAAAAAGTGAGTGCGAGATGTGGTCCTTATCCTACGGCGGTGAGTTTGGTCGGTCGAATCATCATGGTCCCGAGTGTACCGGCTACATAAGTGTTGGGCGTTCTGCTGGCGGTTCTCTAGATTGTCGACATGAAGAACCAGAGCCCAAACTGTCAAAGATTTCTCATCAGAGATCACATCCTATCAGAGCACAGTTGTGAAGGCAGGATGTCCTAATCCCGAAGCCTCGGCTATCGTGGTTTAAACTTAGTCCGGGAGCGGGTCACAACCAGGTTAATACGCCTGAAGAGCTCAGCGACATGTCTCGGTGGATCCGAAGGCGCCCTTAGCTCTGTCTGGCGTAAGACTGTGAGTGTGTCTATGTCTAATGCGTGTGTACGTATGATCCCCGTGTATTGGTCACTTCGGTAGGTGGGCTGTGGCAATGCCTGCGGACGGATTTGGGTAGAAGCCGTTCTCCAGGTGCCGGAGTCCGATGCAGCCACTGCGCTTACTACTCCTAACGGGAGGAAGATTCATTTCATTTTTGTGGTTGGCAGCCGGAGTGCATACTAATTTCCGGGGCCTCAGTGCGTAGGTTCTCCGATTATGATCTGAAGGCAGATTAAGGAGACTGTGCGCTGGCAAAATCTGTCTGGTGACCGTGCTCAAGCCTATTCAGAATGACGGCTGGTTCAGGTCCGAGCTTTTTCATTTCTGTGGACCTTTGGAGGCGGAAAAAGGAAATGACAATTATGCTCATCTATCTGCATCCCTAATTTTCTGGCTTTCTGTCCTGTCTTCTATACACCGATTTCTGCATTCAGTAGTCGTGCGCCGTCATGGAGTGATGTGACCTTTGACAATGTGTTTAGGGTGTTGTCTATTTGTAAGTACGTATCTCTTCAAGATTACTTTGAAATTTTCCCGATGGCGCTAAAGGTACCGGGTCTATGAGTTATATCGACTGTCCTGGTATTGCGGTCGACCTCGATGGTTGTTTTGTAGCGAAATTTTTTGAGTAGTTATTTCCTCTAGGTGTTTCATTCACTCTGACAAGTTATTGGTTATCAAACAGTTTTCAGCGACCATATGAGCAGTGTGGTCTGTCGAAAAGTCAGTAACTCTTTTCGTTTTCGGTCTCCATCGTAAAATTAATGCTGTTAGTTTGTTCTGTGGGATAGGCGAGAAAAGCCTCCTGTTCAGTCGATGGTTTGATATAAAAAAAATGCCGGTATATCTCAAACACATGCATGGAGGATAGGCAACGTCGTGTAAGGCTTTTGTTTCTCTACGGTACAGGAGAAGACTGGTAGCTATCGGTTTGACTAGAGAGACAGAGCAGCACTATTCATCCTCCCTCAAACACTTCATAAGGTAAAACAGACGGAGTTCAACTCCAGATAAAGTCCTGTGGGTGTGCTCCTGTTGCGCAGCTGTGGTAACCTAGATTTGTTTGATTTCCGATCGACCCTAGCTTAATTATTCTGTAGACAGTTATTCCTAAGGGGGTTGTTTTCCTGTTTGCTTCCGTCTCTTCTTTGGAGTGAGAGGGTAAAGGGCAGTTAGTATTGTTCATTTAATCTAGATCTTTAATTGTACCTGTTACTCTCTTATCAGCTTTTCTAATGTGGATAGACTGGACCGCTATGGATGCATATAGAGCTGGAGACAGATTATTCCTGCCCTGTCTCCCGTTTATTTTCGAGGTTACTCGAACGGGTTTCTTCGGGTTTCTGAGAGCTAACCTAGGTAGAACGGGTTTCAAGGTCGGGATGAATCTGCATAGTGTTTGAGGTTTGCTGGTCAAATTGAAATTTAGAGCTCTTTTGAGAACTGTTGTTCTTCTCGAAAGGTTGTGTAATTTTTTGGTTGTGTCAGCACCTTCGGGCTTCTTTGACTGGAAACACGTTTGTTTAACTTATATTGAACTTTGTTGTGATCTATCAATCTTCATTCTTTGCTCTGGTTTGTATGAATCGAAACTGGCAGTCATTTATTCTGCGAATAACGCATTTATTCAGTGAGCATGTCAGGTGGCTCTTAGATGGTCATCTGTGTACAGTATTGGTTTGCTTATGGAGTCCATTGTGGCTATATATGAATGCATTGTTTGTCGCCGGAACTCAGAGCCCGGACCGTTAATAAAACAGTCCTGACACATGAGCAGTGTTGCGGTTTTACTTAGGTATATCAGGGTGATTGTAGTACCTCCTGACAACGGTGACGGAAACTTGGGACCCTAATACCACTGTTTCGATTCATAAACTTTTTAATTTAATTCTACAAAGTGCTGAAAGTATCCCACGATTCCTCATTGAGCAAATATGTATTATACTATGTGAGCTCCGGTCAAAGTGCACCATTAAGCAGTCTTCGTTCGGTCCTTTTCGCAAAATTTCAACTCTCCCTGATTGCGTAAATTAGGCCTGAGCCGATGGAGGCACCGGTGTGCTAGGAAATTTATCATATATACACCGGTTTAGCAGTGAAACTCATTGAAATCAAAAAGATCGATCATATAAGAGGGATCTTTTAAAGAGAAACCTTGTGAGTAGTTTCCTTTACGAGAATGAAGGTTGTTATGGAAAATATGGGTGGTATTATCGCTGTTCGCCTTCCAGGATGAGGCTCTCTTCTAACTGCTTCACCGGAGACAGTGGACGATATGGCAGCTAACCAACATCACTGGTGTTCATGTTATCCGTTTCTATCCACTGAGTGTTGGAGGTGTAAGCGTCTTGTATGTTTGTGGTAGGCTATGCCTGGGTCTCCTCACCGCTCCAAATACTTTCTTCTCTTCGTCGTAAAGCTTCACTTGAGTAATTTGACATGATTGGCATAGAAGGGAAGCATCAGTGTTCTCTCTTATTGCTATCAGTGATGGCGATGGTGATGCGGACATCTTGTGCAAACAGTCTGAACAGTTCACCTGAAGATGTAGGGAANATCAGTGATGGCGATGGTGATGCGGACATCTTGTGAACAGTTCACCTGAAGATGTAGGGAAAAATCGCAAGAAAAGGTGTTCATTTGGGTTTTGAACGTATGCAGATGCCCTGGCGCCTGACTAAATGGGTTTATTTTTTGGTTTCGACAACAATACTACCTTCAATTGAAATTTATCGGGAGTTTTATGGATTACATACGTTACGGGATATGTCCATTTTCTCGAATTTGCAGGTTCAAGGACGGTAAACCAATTCGAAGTCAAGTCAAGTATTCTACTAGCCCGGCCTGGGAACGTCGAGCTTCCCTCAAAGTGAGCCGAGCAAAACTAGAGGACGCGGGAGTGTTCACTTGTCGCGCAACGAACACTGTGGGGACAGCCGAAACATCGTGCCGCCTAACTGTCTGCCAGAAACCTACACTGACTCTAGAACTGGATAAGGGATCATCTAGTCAAGTCACATCTGCTCCAGGCAAGAATGAAGTGCTCGCTGGACGTGTCGGTGGCAGACTGGTAGTTAAAGCAACTTGCGAAGCAGTGCCCGAATGTGAGCCAATGACTTGGTTTATCAAGGGTAACCGCGTCGAGTCTGAATTAACTCCTGACTTGCGTTCTCGAGTAACAATCAATCAACCGGCATCAACCACGAGTCGAACAGCCTCGACACCCACAGTACAAGAAGCGTACCTTACAATCAGCGATCTACAGTTACAGGACAGTGGCGATATCGGAGTACGAGCTGTCAACAGTGCGGGCTTTTCACAGACTGCCTTACGTCTCGTTTTATCGGACCGTCCGCAGCCACCGATGTCCGTGAAAGTTGGGCCTACTAGAGGACAGGACTGGCTCGAGGTTTTATGGGAACGGCCAGAAGCGATGGG